CAAAATTCCCAAAGATGGGTGGCGTTCAACTGATGATGAACCCACTGATAAGGCATACCAGCAACATCAACTAAGGTGTGTTTTTTTAACTGTAAACAAAAATTAATAAGACCAAAACACACTTTCTGTTTGCTAAGATTTTGTCTGTGACTCAAACCATGCATCGGTGCTCGTCTTCTCGTGTCGGGTGTATGCATGAATCTCATTGGCTAGAGATTGGAGATTTTTAAATAAGCATATGTTGCTAAAAAGGGATGTCACTGACAATCAATCAATTTTATTGCTTAACAATTGCAACTGGTACAATGTATGGCATACAGAAAATAGTAGAAAGGGGTAGGTACAATAACTGACATGCCTCTCATAACACCAATGTACAAACAATGACTTCCCAAAACTACAAGTGTTTTTGTGCCCTTCTGAACATAACTTGTTGCCATGACTTGTGATTTGATTGACACAACAATTACCAAATGAATGGCAAATGCATCAGCAGAAATTTTTAATGAAGTGTTGAGCACCTGGGCACGAGAAATGTAGGAAGGTAGGATCTAAAATGCTGTTTCCCAGGTTCTGAAAGACAGTGTCCTGTAGTGCTAAAATTTATATTTACAATACTTTACCATCCCGAGCCTTGTAAGAAAAACTTACTCACCTTTCCTCCAGTTTTGGCAACAAATGTTTTGTCACTGCTGCCCTCCAGCTTTCTTCTTAGCATTGCTGTGAAGGCCATGTCTTTATCAGGATACAGAGGGCCTGCCTCATCTAGGGCAACTGTCACTTTTCCAAAACTACAGTTTTTTTTCTTCATATGATGGTACCGTAACTGGAGGGGGAGGGGGTGGAGGGATTACCACCAGAACTTGTACAGGACAGGTGACTTGTTGGCTGCTGTTTTGTTGGCTGCTGTTTTGACTGTTTTGCCTGGGGACTTTCTTGGTTTTCCTTGGGACTGTCTTGGTTTTTCTTGGGGGCCTTCGGCCTTCCAGAAGACTTTCCCCTTTTACGCCTTCCCCCCTAGACATTTTAGCAACCTTTTCGCAGTAACTCTTCTCCATATGCGTGGTGGTATAACGATACCCTTTTTGGGCGAGAGTGTTTTGGTGGCTTGCACAGCCGTGCCATACAACCATTGCAGAAGTAGGGGGGTGTTGTTATTTTCTATCCTTCCCCACATCTACCCCCCAAACCTTTTGAATCTTGTCAGCAAACTTAAAACAAATATTTGGTTGAAGATTTTGGACTTTCTCTTTTTTGGTAAGGACAAATTCCCCTCAGAAACGGCACAACATGAAAAACATGTACCTTAGTCACACAAAAAAATGATGGTTTAAGTGAAAAATCAATTCTAGGATGTGAACAAATATGTTAGAGCTTACAGGTTGCTGGGGCATTTACTGGCAATGTGTCCTAGCCCTCCGCAAGTCCAACATGTGCGATGACTAATAGAATATAGGACAAATATTTTAGCTAATAAGTAGAGCATTTAAATTTCAAAAATTATAAGTCTTGGGACATGTTATGTCATAATAAATATTGTCTACTATTGTTTTAATTTGATAAGACTAATAAGAAAGTGTCTCACTCTTTCTTTTGGACTTGTTCATTGTTGTCACTGAAAACATTTGGAAAATATGTTGATAAGTTTTACGTAATGAAATGTTGATTTGCAATATGCAATTTACTCCTAAATAGTTTCCTTTCATTTTCAAATGTATCATCCCAGTATGAGAAACCACTAAACTGACTTACTCTTTCTGGGCATTTGCAGCCAACCACTTGGTGTCCCTTTAGTCAGGAAATATGAAGAAAAAACATTGAAAAGTTGTTTTTTTTTCTTTAATGTGATGTTGGCATGAAATCGTTTCCATCCAAGTCAACTCATGGTTATAGTGCCTGTCAGACTAATAAGAAAGTGACTCACTGTTTCCCAGCGGAAACAACTTGTTCCGTCTTGTCAATGAAAACATTTAGAAAAAATATTGATAAGTTTTATGTAATGACATGTTGGTGTCCCTTTAGTCAGGAAACATGAAAAAAAAAACATTGAAAAGTTTTGTTTTTTTCCTTTAATGTGATGTTGGCATGAAATTGTTTAAATCGTATGCAATTTGCTCTCAAATACAAGTCAAATCATGGTTATAGTACCTGGTAATACCATTTTGAAAATATGGTTTTACATATTCAACTATTTTAAATATTGAAAATGCATAATATCTTGACAACAAATGTACTTACTTCTCCGGCGGGATTTCCTGCCCCATGCTGTGACTGTTGCATCGTTGTATCTATTGATGGAATTTATGTATACTGCTTGAAGAAAATGTACATATAAGGCCACACCAAAAAGCTCAATATCTCCTTACAAATATGTATTTAATATTTTTATCATGTTATTATCTTTCCAGTTAGTTACCCAACCTCAATTGCTAAATCAAAAAAGTATGTTTAGAGTAAGAGAATTGATTTTAAAAAAAGAATTATCTGACGTTTAACCTTGAGTACGCTAGGCTATCTGTTTTGATTTAAGGCATTTTTTCTCAAATTTAAGTCAAATAATACTCATACTATATCGTTTGTGTGTGTGTGCTATAATTTATTACAGATTATTATATTTAATTTAATTCTACTTACTCTGGCAGCGTCACGTCTATGGCTGGGCACGGGGCTTTCCTGACAGCTTCGGGTTCTGACAGAAAATGACAGACGATAACACGCTGTACCCTCGTGCCATCTTACGACATTCACGCAAGTAGCAGCAGCTCAATTTGCCGACAACCGCAAGGTATGCAATGATTGTGTGTTTTATACTTAAAGTTAAAGTTAAAGCACGTAACGTTGTAAATAGACTGTTTTACACGCTTAAATGTTAGAAATAGAAAAATAAGCAAATAGTTGAAATACTGCCAATTAACTGATTGACCTCTATAAACATCGGGCTAGGACAATTAAATGTCTCAAAGCAGATGTGGGATCTAACGCGTTTTCATTGTTTTGCGCCTGTTTTTGCAACATTTATAAGCACATATAGCTAATAGTGCACAAATTAGAAGAGGCGCTATTAAAACATGAGCTATTGGAGAGAAATACTAAAAACGCGCAAAACAATGAAACCGCGTTAGATCCCACATCTGCTTGGAGATTAACGGTCATCACTTTTTAACACTAACAGATGGGCGGAGGAGACCACTGTGCGGTCTTTGGCTGCACCAATGACAGAAGATACCCCCAAAGGTATGACATGTTTTATTTGAATTTTATTAGTGCTAGGGCCACACCAATTTGATTTGTTGGTTCTGGAATTTTAGAAAAATAAATAAATTGCTGTGGCCTAGGTTAAGGCAAATATAACTATATCATATTATCTGTGTTAGCTGTGCTCACTACTAAGTAATTGCCATTAAATTCAATTTACTAATGTTACAGTACAGCTTGCGTTAGAATTAACGGGTAACGCGTAACTCACGCGGTACTCACGCGGCATTTACGCGGTACTAACCCGTCACAATAACGCGTGAGTAACGCATTTCATGCGTCCGAGTTCTGCTGAAGCTTCTCGTTACTGCGTGAGTCACCCGATATCGCCGCATTTTATAGTGTGTGATTTAATAGTGCCCCGCCCTGGCCCCGCCAACACGACGTGCCCGATCGGCTTTACCGGTGCGAAAGTCGGCGATTTCTGCAGGAATTGGCTCCTTTTGATATGCAGCCGCCCGCTATATGATAATCTCTATTAAACGTCACCCCGCCTGCTGGTTTTCCGAAAAAATCAACGCATCTCCCTGAGGTCATTGACCCGCAAAAGCGAGGAGCAACGCACGCCGGCGGCACTTGGTATGATCAAGGACATTATACGAGATGTATTATGTCCTTGGTACATGTATGATGGTACATCCTACAGCAACACAGCAACCAAGCGACAAAACTGTGAAGGAACACCATGGTCCCAAAATGCTCCAAAAATATTCCAATATTACATGGCGATTATTTCCTGTTATTAAACACCCACGCTAATAAGACTGATTTTGGGCGGGTGGCTGACCGCCCCACTCGGGAACTGAAAACTTGTGATGGAAATACTGATACAATGGGCGCACCCCATTTTCGGCGTTTCGTGTGACAAAACTAAATGCATCATACACTACACCTTATATATATTTTTCTTCACTTCAGGTTGATAGTTGTTTGAAATAAAATCTAGTAGGTCTGATAATCGCTTGTTGTGTTTTTATTTGCCCAAACCACGCATGTTTTCCTGTCGGCAGCGCCGGTAACTTTAATCCTCGATCCTCGGGGAAGCGGGTCACCCCACCGACAGCATTGAAAGGAAAGACGGCAGTGAGACGTAAAACTGTAACGATAGTGACGAATCAAGTTTTGTGAGGAGGTAGAAATTCAGTGGAAAAGACAAATTTCTGATTTTATTGTCATCTCAAATATCATTAGGCATTGGGGCTTTACCCCGAATATCGTGCGATTTGAATATTTTTCGGTCGGACAAAAACCATTTCAATTTAAACCACGCACCTAAAAAAAAGTCATTGTGGGGAAGCAGGTCTTGGAAATTTGCTGGCGGTGGAAACATTGCCGAAAATGATGCAGTGTATTTGAGCGTGAACTGGGACAAAAACGCAAACATTCGTAAAAAATATACGCACTAGAGGGATATTTCTCGTCAAGTATAAATTTCTAACGTAATTTAGGGAGTTTTCGACAAATTATTTGCACAGACCCGGAAGTGTAGCCAATCTTGGCGCGTGTATGAACATGTTTACAAATTATATGTAGCGTGTCGGCCCGAACTAGAAAGATTCTCCACGGATTCAAACTTGAGTGACAGGAGGCGGCCGTTTTAACTTTTAGCGGTGCACCGTTTTAAAAATATCAGTCGAAACGTAGTTGATACCGGGTAGATACTAATATCACCGTTTAGGAAAGGAAGTAGACGGAAGTCATTTCACTTTTAAGTAAAGTCTTTATTCGTAAACGAAACAGACATGTCAGAGAACGGTCAAGACTTCCTTCTCAGGGCCCATGTCGTTGAAAGCTGCCCTTAGCGCTGCGGTAGCCCTCTCTTTGTCCACCACTTGAAGGTGAATCTGGCAGGGAACGACGGCCCCACCACCTTTTTGGACTGCTTCGGGCCACGGCCAGAAGGATCGACGCGGCAGGCCAATGGCAACGCTGTTGTAATGTAGACATGGGATAAGTTCTTCAGACGCGTAACAGTAGAATCGGGAATTACCGTAACTTTCAATCGATTTCAACCTTTCAAAGGATGACACTCAAAGGACAGTTGGGTAAATGTAAAAAAAACTGACCCCTAATTTTAATACGCTAATACACATGAACATCGATTTTGCACACCCTTCCCAATCAGCAAATATTTACGTAATTACCACGTGATTTCTTCCACCTCGCCAGCTGACGATAGCTGGTTCAGGATAGACGACAGGCTGGCGGGTAGGTGTCCAACGCACTTCTCAGCAATGTCCCGGACGACGGTCCTGCGTTTTGTGTCTGTTACTACGTCGTGCTGGTCGGTGGGAATCTTCTCCAGCGGCGGCATAAACACTGCCAGTGCGTGCTTGTCGTGTTGGTTGTCGGGTTCTGCCACAACATTCATCCTGAGGCCCATTAGTGGCCTTAAGCGGAAGATGTGATACCTGCAGAGAGTGGGTTTTTCAAAACTTTTATCCCAAATGCTATTCTTTTCTCTCTTCCGTATTTTTCCGTATTATATATGAGATAAAGTTGGCGATAAATTAAGGACGAAAGAAAACAGACAAAATCGCATACTCTTACATACAGCAGATGACTCACGAGAAATCGCACACTACGGTATTGTTCCTAGAAATATGAAAGACAAAAGGTGTATGACAGCTTACCCTTTGATCACGGCTTTGTCAATAGTGATCTCCACAACAGGGGGGCGAGGAGGAGCCCCTTTTTTTGCATCCTTTTCTAGCTCGTGTTCGTCTTGAGTCTTTCCTGGCGGAGCGAAGACAAGTCTGACATAAATATTTCTGTTATCGAAGACAAAAAGACATCCATAAGATATACATGTATCTACGGGGGTTACGGGTTTGTACACACCGGGTACAGATCGATGTTTATTGCCGGAGTCTATCGACATGCCCTTTTTTAACCAGTACTTTCCTTTAAGGAGGGGAAATATTCAAGTTTGTCACCGGCCTCCTTCTGTCTTTGTAGACGGTGGATCAATAAATACCACACTGCTGCACACACAGCCCGGAGTGTCTACTTACGTTTCCTATCCATGTTTCCTCTGTAGCTTGGCTTGACGATCGGCAGCCAAAACGTTTTAACGGTTAACAAAAATGCGCAAGAACTCTAATCCGATCTTGTTTTACTAATGACAAACTGCAAGTAAGGATTATTTTTGTTTCGTCCGTACGGTTTGTTCAGCGCGGGTCAGACAGTTAGCCGCCAATCACAACGCTCCCACAGGGTTCAAGGAGACTCCGCCCCCAAAGACTCCAGGGGGTTGATCAGTCAGTGTTTACGTTTTGGCAAATTATCTCGACATCTCCCCGAAACAACATTTCCCACATTTCCATGACTGGATAATGCAGTCCAAATGCTGTTACTGTGTACTGAAAATACATTACGGAAAAAATATCAGCATTATGGCCCTTCACGATAGCTGGAACTCGTTGTACTTTTATTTGTAAACAACAAACAAGAACGGTTCTCGGGTTTCGTTTTGGTTTACTCGGTTCCCGCCAAACGTGTGGATTTTGCTCTAGTACGCCGGTTCAAAGCAGGACCGGTTCAAAGCAGGTTCAAAGGTAAAAAAAAAAACCTACGTCACAAAAAGAAGCTTACAGTTACAACCAGGAGTAACACGTGTGTGTTGGTCTAGGACGGGGTTAGCTGGTAAAAAGTAAGTAAGGCTCATATTTGTGCATTTTTTTGTGATTTTAGTTGTCATGGATATTGTCCATGGGTTTGTCGTGACATTTTCTGTGATTGTTGTCAGGGAAGTTTTGACCGATGTATCGGTGCAGCGTTTCAATCAGGATTTGATGGCAGAAAAAGTCCGCATCCATAATACCTTTGAACACCAGGATGGGTGTGCGGCCTTTCTTTGATATACCAGCCCATGCATAAACCTTCGTAGGGTGTTTGGGCCTCGGTTTCAGCTTTTGGTTATAGTCAGGATCAACCTGTAATGGCCGTGACATGTGACAGTTTGTAATTTGTAATAATTAGTAGGTCGTATGGCTAGTTATGCCTACACATCACCCCTAGATAGATGTATATAGATTAGAGGTAACCTTGTATACCTGTTACACACCTGCCATCTTTTCCTGAAACAGACCTTGGCGTGACTGTCGAGGTATATGATGGTCTCGTCAGACCAGATGATATCGTCGAAGGACTCTCCATCAAGCAGCATTTGCTGGCACCATAGGAGTCTTGCATTCCTGTTCGCTTCACGAATGACCTAACAATATCGCGGACCGCATTTTACCTGTAAATTTTTTTTTCAATAACAGCCTGACCCACAATGGGAATACTAGTAACAAAATCATTAGAAAAGCGTTTGTCCCGAAAGATGTCCTGTTGCACAGTAAAGTAGAAAACTATTAGAGAAATAAACGACTGACCCATCCTATAGCATAGCGGTGCCGCTTTACTGTTGCCACCGACACAGACAGCCCGAACCTGAAGAAGAAAAGCATGCCTATGACTACCAAGTAAACTCTCTGAAAAGTGTTTTACGGCACAGGCTTATAAACATCGAGTATTTAGAGTGTTCTGTTGAGGGTATTCAGCACCAGGGACAGTACTACTGTGGAGGGTGTTTAACACCAGGGACAGCACTATTGTGGAGTGAGTTCAGCACCAGGGACAGCACTACTGTGGAGGGACAGTTCAGTAAATTTTGTAATTAAAAATCCTTACCTATCGAACAGCAACCGCTGCAGATCTGGTGCGGTCAATTCGTCGTTGTTTTTCATAGCATCGTCAATGAAATTCAAGTGCACCACTTGCATCTTGCCAATCCCGTGTTGGCCTGGCCTTGGGTATACAATGGCTCCATCCGTCTTAAGCGAGTCCAAATACTTTGACACTGTCTGTCGGCATCCCCTCAAATCTTCTTCCTTAAGAACCCTTTCAATGGCAACTGGTCCGTACCCTTGGTTGAAAAGCGTTGCTATTCTACATATCGAAGATTGCGGCAGCGACATTACTACGTACTTACTTACTAAATTTGGCTTGTGTACGATAATCCACTCGAAGAGGAAATGTTATTCCTGATATGAAATGCACTTTTACGGTTTGGAACATTCGAAAAACCGCTCCACCTATTCGATCGAACGGAGATCCGTCAAGTAGAACTCTGTTCAGCACCAGGGATAGTCCTTACGTAATGCGGCCGCTTCGCGTGAGGACTATCCCTGGTGCTGAACAGAGTTCTACTTGATGGATCTCCGTGAAAAACCCTGCCTCTTGCACTTAACGTCCACTACCATAATATAGCCACGGTCTATAATATCGCCAGTTTAAAAATCAGTCCAGGGAATAAGAACGGTAAAACCCGGTTTATTCACAATTAAAACAGTCTAAAACATACCATAATTGCTCAATATTATTTACTAACATTTTCAGCTCTGGAAAACCAGTGCTGACGTCCCTTCAGCACTGGGACGCTCTTCAAACCAGTGCTGACGTCTTTCCCGGCACTGGAAAATTATGTCCCAGTGCTGAGAGGTAGGAAATCTGTGCCGCTCCTTGCTGTGCCGAATCACTTGTATTCCTGCCACTGAGTTTACTCTTTAATCGTTATTGAAAACCTTACGCTGTTGTGTTTCACTACATGTGGTTTTGGAAACTAAAGAAACTAAAACGGCACCTTTGTGATTATTTTCGTTCATTTTCGCAGTGAAAAATTAATACGATTATATATAGGCACCAGTTTAAGTGATATCAACCAGAGATACCAGAGATTATGATATCAACCAAAGTACCAGTAACAACTTTTTTCTGACCCTTTTCTGACCTTCTTCTGACTTTATTTTTTCATGAATGCTGTAGCTTCGTGTGTGATTGTGATAGATATAGCCCCTTTGGGAGTGATTTGGGTGGCCCTGAAAAGGGCCGGGGTACTTGTAGTATTCAGCTGGCCTCGCCGTCGTTGTTGTTTGTGTTGATGAGGCGACGCTGAATCTCGAGGAGAATGAGGTCGCCCACAGCAGCATGTGGGTCTCGTGGTGACTCGTAGCCGTCTACATGGCCGGCTATCTCCCGAAGCACGTCGTCTTGTCGGACTTGCCTTGTCGCCACCCCTCTCTTGGACAGCTTTCTGATGAGGTCGTGGACAACAGGACGAAGCTCATGCCACAGGATTATGGATGCGTCGATTCGCTCATCCTGGACAGCCCTCTCCTCGACCGCGGTGGACTCTTGGCGAACCTCGGCTGCGGTGGACTCTTGGCGAATACGTCTCCTGTATTCAGCCTCAGTGTCCTCCGGTCGCCTCGTTCGACGGATGTTTAGGCGACCGTCGGGAAGCTTCCCCGGTCGTGCCACAGAGCGGCACGCCTGGTACGCTGGTGCGGAACATAATTTCGTAATTCCACTTCCAGTGCTGAGACTTTTCAGCACTGGGATTCCAGTGCTGAACTCCTTTCAGCTCTCGGTTTCCAGAGCTGAGGCGGCTTCAGCTCTGGTGTTCCAGTGCTGAGAAAGGAGGGCGTTACTTTTGTATATTTGCCCGCCGGTCTAAATTACCGCTACGGTGGAGACTATACCCTGGATGCCAAACTAGTATCGGGCCGTTAGCCGTTTTCCTTCGGCAGCCGAGAGCCCTTCGCCCGGCGCCTGCCTAAATTACCGCTCCGGAGGAGCCAAACTCCCCCCGGGCTAGACTCCCCCGTAGCGGTAATTTACACCAGCGGGCGAAGGGCTTTTGCGGCCCGGACAGCGAGTTTGGATTCCAGGGTAGGGAGACTAGCCCGGGGGGAGTTTGGCCGCCCTCCAGACGAGTCTGGAATGTCAGTCCATACGCACATATTCTGTGCGTAGCCCTCTCTGTGCTTAGCCTTATTGGCCAGGATCTAATCCCCGCGCAGCGGCACGCCACGCCGGGATTGGGTGCACATCTGCGGGCTCATTTGACCTGTTGGCGGCCAACATTATGCTGCTACTGTCCGATCGTAGCGAGCTTCTAGTGCTGTTTTCCTCGTCCGGAACGTGTTTACGGGCCATGTATTTGTCCCCAGAAGACACCAGATTCGTGCAGACTTTGTTTACGGTGTGGTTGTTGTAGCGCAGCAATTTTAATCGGTATAAATAATGGGGAAAATAGCGTAAAAGACCGACTGTAAACAACGAAGCTATCGGTACTAAAACTGTGCTACGAAATTATGATCTTACCTCTACCACACGTGTCCCCACTTACTATTTGGATCCGCAGGAGTAATGAAACATGTACATAAATGTAGTTTCGTTCGTTGCTATGACCTACGTTCAGACTTGCAAAAATTTTTGTCGTCTTTTGCTGCGCAAAGAGGGGGAGGGGGGCGATTATAATTTATGTTTGCCCATCAAAATCCCGGGGCGCGCGTCTCACCCCTCCCCAAAAACTCTTGCATCAAGAACGAACACGTCTATTCACGTATGAAGTACTTCCACAAGGATGGCAAAGTTTCTTTCGGTAGGAACATTCTACTTCTGTGAGTCAGCTGCGGGGTCAGCCAACTAGATGAAAACGGAGTCGATTTTTTTTACCAGAACAACGCTATAACGTAGCGCACGTCCAAGACACGGGAGAACCCGAAAAATAAATAAACACGGGAGAACCTGAACTAAACGTGTTTATGGAAAATGTGACGCAGATTAGTTCGTCCTCAGACCATAAAGCTTGACTCGGTGAAAAATGAAATTCACTCGGTATACTCCGTGGAACTCGCCTCCTCGATGTCACATGTAGAAAAACGTTGTTTTCGGGATTTAAAAATTAGAAAATTACAATGCCGGATGCAGGCCGTGCAGCTGCAGGGCGGCAAAATATACAAATCGTCAGGCGGTGTCTCTGGCTGGGCGGTGCATCTGATTCAACTCTTTGCGGTCTGGCTGGTGGGTGGGTTCCCGTCTGTGCGCTGTGATTGGCGCGCCAGAACGCCACGTGGTCTGTCGGCGCCGGGGAGTTTAGCCGCTGCTCACTGCTGTCTACGTGCGGTTTCTATGGCGACACGGCGTGGGAACGCCCGGCCCAACACTGGGGGCCTGCATGCCCTGTTTCGTAAGGCGTGAGACCTTTTCTTTATTAATAGTCTTCGTAAACCGTAGACAGCATTCCCAAAAATCGGTGCGTAACTGGCGGGTTCAATTACAAAATGGGGTATCTTGAAAGTGAACCGCCGAAAAATTGATACGTCAAACGCGGGTTCCGCCCGAAACATCCAAACTCCGTTACAAGCATATTGTACGGTGCGTTTACGCGCATATCTACACGAGAATTGCAGGACTTTTAAACGTGTTTTGAACTATCGAAGCAATGGCCCGATGGCGCACCCAATGGTGCGTTACAGTGACGCATTCTAACGCACTTATTTTTTCCTTCTCTATTGGCGTCATCGCTTCGTAATCGCTGCGTTAGCGTTACGTGATCGCCGCGTTAGCGTTACCTCGTGATCGCGTCACCCGTTAATTCTAACGCAAGCTGTACTGTATATCAGAAAGTCTCTTTTGCTTAAAGAATTTGCATCACTATCTTCATGTGTATTTATGTTTTCTTTATAGGTATATGGTGAAGCCACATGTGGAAACCCGGGGTTTTATGGCTGAGAGTTAAGTGGACAAAACTAATCAACCGGGAAAGTTCACAGTGACAGCATCAACCAGAGTGTGCAGCAATCACGTTAAGTAAGGGAAGAGAACTGTCACTGACCCCTTTCCTACACTGTATCTTAAGGGGGGGGGGGAAAGAACTCTGGAAAGCGACGGAAACTTTTCAGGCACGAGCTGCCCTCTAAAAAAGCAAAAGTGGAAAAAAATGTAACAGAAGAGCATGCATGTGTGCCAAGTCCCAATAGAAATATATACATCGCCGATGAACATTCTTATAGTGCAAATGATCAGGAGTGTGTGCCATGTTCTGATATTAGTGTAAGCATGTCAGATGAGTCCTTGTTGATGATCACTCCTATTGTGCAAGTCAGTCTGCACCTGAGAAAGACATAGGAGAATCCCTCATCGAATCTCTGGAGAGTGAAACTCAAAAATGGAAACAACTTGCAGAAAAAGGAAATTGAAGAGCTAAACAGGAAAGTTCAGGAACTAGAACATTTCGGAATACATCAGATTAAGGATTCAGCCAAAAAATTAAACTGCACACAGGGCTAGTAAACTATGCCAAGTTCAAATGGGTACTTAATGAAGTTAAACACAACCTCCCTCAGTTGCAATATTATAAAGGTCAGACAAGAAGTACCAAATTGAAGGCCGTAGAAAGCCTGGTCCTTCACGCCTCCTCGACCCGGAGGACGAGGTGCTCCTGACATTAATGAAGCTCAGAATGAATCTGCTGGAGGAGGATTTGGCTTTACGTTTTGCGATAAGCACATCCCTTGTGTCACGCATTATATCAACACAGATACCATTGCTAGCTAAAGAGCTTGAAGGGTTGGTGTACTGGCCACCTTCTGAAGTCATTGAGAAGTATGTACCAGCATATGCATGCTTTCACAAATGGCCTCGAATTCGAGCCATTCTTGATTGCACAGAGATACCATTACAAAGACCTTCCCTGGCAAAGGCCAACTCACAAATATACAGCTATTACAAAAGCAGAGCAACTGCTAAAATCCTGATAGCATGTACCCC